TTCAATATGATTCCTTAAAACTGTCGCCAGACTTCAGTAGATATCCTTAATTAGTTAATCAGACATTGGTTGGATCACGTAAGAAAAATAACCCACAAGTTAAATAGGTCAATGATTACACTTAACACTGCATATAAGCTGAATTGCGTTCATGTCATGTAAAGGTATTTTCAAAGCTAATTTATACAGATTCACTGTCTGAATTCGCTGCCATATGCGTGTCCGACTTATTCAAAACTGACATTCTAACATTGTTTGATGAAGTCTGACGGCGATACTTAAATGCAGATATTTCAGACGAAACACTGCCACCGTGAATCGTCGGCACTGTACATTGGACCGGATATAGTTATAACTGATGCGGTGAGAAGAAAATATGACGGAAACACCAGGTAAGAAAATCCCCATTATTACTTGCCAAGCTTTCTGTAATTTAACAGACAACACGTAAAAACCAAATTTGTGCATGTAAACAATGATATCATAAAACGTGTACCTGGCAGCTCTGAACAGAGAAGAAGTCACCTTTAAAGCCAATTTAAATTTTACCGACACTACTTTCCCTGAGGGAAAGTTGCCTTAGTACCCGTTGTCATTGTGGTAAGCGCTAGGTATGGTTGAATTCAATTACTCTGTGATGTATATGTGTAAGTCGTATGGGTGTTACAGGATTACATAATGGTATATCTAAGGGAGACAACCTAACTACAAATGTATAATCCCCTACATCGTAATTCTTTTGATAAGACTGGAACTATACAGATGTGTTTGTGGTTGTTTCTACTTATGATATGAACCTCTTACACCTACGACTGGTAGGGCTGAATTGGGAAATACATAGATATAGAAATCGTATATAGCCTATACTTGTATTAGCTACAAACTGTACATCTATGGAGACAGTTTTCTGTGGCACCAGCGAAGTTAGCGCACCTTCTCTGACATAACACCAACATAATTCTTCATATATATATCAGCATGTGGTATATATGGTAGATAATATGTTCTTTTTTATGTCAACCGAATTGTATATCTACTGTACTACAATCTTGTAGAAATACAAGGCTTAAACAAACAATAACATCAAGTGTATATCTACTAAATATAGAATTTATTGGAAATCAAAATCCTATCTATATAAGATACTGACGTTCATAAAAATACATCTTACATTTTTGTTCTGATTATCACACGGTATAAAATTTGATATAATCTAGCAAACCGACAAGACCATCACAGATTGATCAATGTAAGTAAACAATAATAAAATATCTTTAGGGTAATGAGGAGATCAACAAGGGTATTTAATGGTCGGTTGCTATACATTATTTCATGGGAAATACTTGATTACACTTTCTGAAGTTATTAAGGTATAACCGTTACACCAATAAACAAAATTGATAAAATCTCGAGTATATTACATGTAACTTAATAAAGAAAATGACGGCTTTTCTTTCAACAAGTGATACTGCAAACCTTTTTAAAGTAGGAACAGTGTCTTGATTTAAACTAAAAACAACAAATATCAATGGCATCGAAGCAAACCCTATATATGACCACGTGTTCATCATGACCACAACAACAAGTTAAAAGCAAAATTAAAAATTCAAATAACCAAAGTGATATAATGAAAACTTTTTTTCTATGTTAATGTTTTGGGGTATTCAGAAGTGGAGATGTTCTTGATTGGGCAAAGTCCCGAGCGATCATGCGTACCAGTGGAGACTAGCCTCTCTCCTGTCTGGCGCTCCGCTCTTCCCATCTCTTTTTGCAGACCAAAAGGGGTCTGTATATACTAAAAATGTTATGAAACTGTCGCTAAAGTAATATTACACATTAGATAACAGGCTAACAAATATTGAGTAATACATGAGTAGTTGACAAAGACTTCTACATGGGAATGGTCGTAGACTATGTTGTTTTCCATAATATAAGTGTACACTGACCTTCATGCAAACTGTCTAGATAGGACTCAGGTAATTACTTACATAATCAGGGAATGAATTTTAAAAAATGGTCATATGTAGTAGACAAAGTAACAAAAGTATGCCTCTGGCTGCTGGTCAATACATAATTGCCCACTGGTCTATAGATGTCAGCATTTAGCTGGTCTTACTCTGTTATTTAAACTATGATTAAAACCTAACATATGTTTAACTGAACAGAATTTTTAATAATCTAATTAGCTCAACAATCAACTTTTAATAGTTCAATGTGATATATACTAGATGTCAAATCTCGAAAAGGCATTATTTTACTGTCGATGGGACGACCCTAGTTATCAAATCGGTATTAAATAGAACATATGTTTCATTCTTCTTGAATATAAATATTAAAATATGTGCTATCCGAATGGCTATGAAACAGTCAAAATTAATCAAAAAAATTTCACGCTGACTTAAATAATCTAGATATAGTTTCTGAATATCAAAGAGAAACATTTTTATACATTGTAGAAATGAAGCATGAAATATTTGATTCATGTGTGTGATTTGTAGATAAAACTTACGAATATATGTTTATACATGTATATATATACTAGTTTATAAAGTCACAGATTTATACATATAAAGAAATTTTCAAATGGCTATCAGCATTGCTTCCAAAATAGAAGAACAAAGTGTACCATTTTGTAAAACACACAAAATCAAAATAATCATCAACAGGCAAAACATTGAAAACATAGACATAACTAAAAAAAAATCCTTTCTTTGAATATTGTACAACTTAGCCATAACAAAAACTGTTTTTAAATCATTACAGGACATACAGGTCAATAGATTTGAATCTAACAAAAACGTACAGACTGAGCGATATTGTGATAAAGCTGAAATATTTAAATGTTATTAAGTTTGATATAAACAGATGTAAAGAAATTAACAAATAACTCATGTAATTTTATATTTGAAATTAAACTTTCAAACATCCTTTTAGAGGTAGATGGTACATTAACTACCACAGTATATAAATATCTTGTTATTAAATGGTAATGTTTTATTAATGTAGATAAGAACATATAGGTAGATTTCAGTACTGCAACGTTGTTAGTAAACGTCGAATGATGTCAAACAATAAGATTTGGATGGTAATAGTTAGAGAAGGATTTAAATAAAACTATATCACGTAAAATAATCATTCTCAAGTGCATCTATGTAATGTTTTTGTTGTTTCTATTATTCTGATCAGAAGGAACCCACCATCGGATGTGAAACAGAAATGTGCTACACATATCTGATTTTCAGATACACAAAAATCTTAAGATAATCACAAAGTCAATTTCTATATGCTTAAAGTAGAATGTTGACATAAAATCGTTATTAGGAACAATACGTCGTGACGTCATAATCTATGCAGAAGTATCCGTTGTAGCATTGCGATGACAATACTTGACGGTATTAGATTCGATTAAGATATGTAATAAATATATCGACGGTGTATATATAAAGATTAAAAAACCATAACTCAGTTCAACACATCTATATGCCAAAACATTAGTTCGATTTAACATGGTTTACAACTCGATAGGTTTCCAAATATTCGGTCGTTTGAAAATGCTAGTGTATCAATGTCTCGCAGACACCTGTACAGACTGATGAGATCAAAAAAAGGATAAAGGATGAAGCAAGGAATATGAGTTTTAATCACAGCAGATCAAAGTAACTACAGGTCAAAGTTACCAAAGAGCCCTGTGGCTATTTCATTCTTTTATGGATCCATAAGTTAAAGAAGGATTATTCTTAATATTTTGCTCTCGAAGATATAACATGGATGATAACTGATTTGCTCTTTCTATTCTTTGGACTTTGAAATGGTAATTAAGATGACAAGTCTGAGATAATTAAAGTATAAATATCATTTAAAGAGGGTTTAATGATTTTGATTAAACTGGTAGTGACATCAGGAATAAATCTAAATTGATGTGACTGACAGCTGACATGATTATAATGACAATAAACATGTGCTGGCGATAATTATCAAAATCATCATATTTCTGATTTTTATCATAAAGATACATGTATGACCGAATCGACGTGAAAAAGATATTTAAATATGCGGTTCTCAGGTCAGCACTTTAATGGAAATTACCGATCCCGGAGAAACAATGGTTATGTTTAATATCCCAAAGTTTACAACAATAAACGAGCATAAAGTGTCACGGTCACCCAGAAATTGAACTGGATGTGCAACGATCAACCATACAGTTGTAATACCAAATTTCATTTCTATAACTTGAAGCATAAAGGGAAAACTACGCAAAGCAATATTCCTGAGAATTTTTCCAAGTTCAAAGGAATATATCACTGCCAAGAAAGGCTACAGACTGCCAAGAAGCGAACTCGGTGCGTAACTTTTGATCAAGAACTCATATACAAAATTGCATTTTCATAACTCGAAGCATAACTAAGAGAATTCCAGAAAACAATATTCAGGAATAGTCACAGCGAGCTGAGAATTGAACTCGATATACAACATTTCATTATGTTAACTCAAAGCATAATTGGGAAATATCTGGAAAACAATATTCCCAAAGAATTTTCTAAGATCAAAGGGGCATAACCCAGCCAAAAAGGGTCACAGACAGCATATAGCAAATGTCATTTCTATAACTCAAAGCATAACCAAAGAAAGTCAAGAAAACAATATTCCTAGAGAATTTTCTAAGTTTAAAGGGGCATAACTCAACCAAGAAGGGTTACAGACACCTAAGAATCGAACTTAATCTGTACCCTTGCAACAAAAAGCCATATACCAAATTTCATTTCGATAACTCAAAGCATAAGCCAACACCAACGCTAAGATATACATTGGAAAATCCCAATGAAATACGATGTGATGTTATTTTTTTGTTTTGTAGAACTAAATATCTAAAACAGAGTAATTGCATTGTATTAGCACAAATATTTTATGGTTTACGTAACAACTTGACCTGTTGCTTGTGTTGATATGTTGCCGTTTCATTACAGAAGGTGATTGTTCAACAAAACCTGTACTATGGCGTTTCACTGTATCATAGCGTGCTGCCTGTCACGGTATTTCACAACATTCATCACTACTTTGCAAACCTTTTCGTCAAGCTTTGTGTCGTTTAATTGGCGCACAGTGTTCAGAGCAAACTCCACTAATAAAACAATAGAAAACACATGTGATTAAGTTCATTTTTCTGAAAGAATGTATAATCAAAATAGTAGTTTGTATCTTTTGCTGAAAATGGTGAACATTGTATCTTTTTTTTAATTGCTATTAATTTATCTATGTCGAGGCCGATATTGATATATTTTCTTTGGTCTATAAAACCACGTATAAATTGAGATCAAAAGGCTATAATGTTTTAATTGTTTTTCTTTTCGTCTCACGGAGTTGCATAATCAGAAACATAATGTACAGATGGTTTCATCAATATCTAAAATATCGTAATTGTTGATAACAAATAAATTGATGTTATGAGGCAGTTACAAATGGCAGAATCTGATAAAATTGCTACTTTCTTTATCGTTTTATTAGAATTCATTATTTTTCCATTTCCCCGTGACATAATTATCAATTAATTGTTCTGTCATATAACTACGTTCTGAAAATTCCATATTGATGAAATGGGTGAGAATGACATAAGAAAATAATTGACTAACAACAAAGTTTGGCGATTCGGTCAAACTATGAATCAAAGATATGTCACTTACGTTCATCAATCGCCTTTCCATTCGATTGTGTACAATAAAGATGGTGAATAAAGTGTTCACTGTTTTTCAAATATACATTTGCGTCTGACTCGCTTATTCCCGACAGCTGTAACAAGCTTCTTTGTTGCGCAGCATTCAACATATTGGATATGTCGACCAACGCTTTTGTTACTAAATTAATTTTAAAAAAGCAGTTTTAGCTATAACAGCAAACACGATATCGACAAATGTACACGAACATTGAATTCAGATCTAAGAAAATATCGCTACAAACTCACGCTCTTTAACACATTGCTCTGGAAACTTTCACACTTGGAAAGAGCAAATTTGTCTTACTTTAAACTTTTTCTAATCAGACGTGAAGTGACATGCTGCAGGTGATGTCATCTGATTTTATTTTTTTTAATGCAAGGACATTCATTGACCATGAACCGATAATGGTATAATTGTATATATTTAATATACATATATATATCAGGAGAGAAATATTTTGGTACCTACACAAACTATTTTAGATGAAAGAAACAGCTGTTCCACTTCATCCATATATCACCATACGACAGCTTTATAATGTCATATTTGTTACGAAGACAAAATGTTAAACTTCTTTGTGATCTTAGCAAAAATAATTTTCATAAATGAAAATACAAAATTGCATCATACCTTTATTATGATATTCAGTCTCGGCGGCTGATACAATTGCCATTTCGTTTAATATGTCTCCTGTTTGAACCTGTTGTGTCACCATCGTTACACCAAGTTGGATTGTTCCGCTTTGTCGGATCCCATTACCATTGATATGCAGTCTTGGGGGTTTCTGATTGTAACGTATGCCCTGGAGTTTAGTGATGTCCATTGCATGTTGAATCTTCAATCTATTCGTCTCCAGTTGATTCCAAAGTCTCATTGATTCAGCATGCTGTTTCCATGCATCCCTTTCAGCCTTGCAAGCAAGCAATTCTTTCGCTTCTAGCAGTATTTCAATAGTATCCATTTCATCTGGAAATTTCGACCTTAACGTTCGAAGACTGTGTCTAAAGTATACCATGCAACTCTTTGATACCAGGGAATCGACTGTCGTCGTAGATGGCCGCTGTTTATTCAAGAGGGTCAAAAAGGCTATGAATGCTTGGTCTCTACTCTCTTGCATATTTTTTTCATTTTTTTGTGACTGAAGCAACTCTTCGTTTCGTTTTTGAAGTAAACACTGTGATTTCTCTAATTTGGAACGATACTGATCGCGCTCTTTGACAAGTTTCGACATTGCTGCTATCTGGGCTGTTGTTGTAGGCTTTTGCATATTTTCACCTGTAATTATGAGATAAGGTATGACGACTTTCTCAGATTTTCAAAAAAAAAAAAACAAGAAGTGAAAAAGGCGAAAATATCACAAATGGCAATATTTAGGTTACCATATGTTTTCAAGCACTTGATAAATATTAAAGCAAATGATATTATTTTATGATAATTATACGTTTTACTTGTAAATTATTTTTTAAAATTGCATAATATGAAACTACCTACCAATCAAGGATATTTCGTCTTCATCGACGAATATATAGTCAACTTTCATAGATTTAAGCACTCCCTTGTCTTCCCGCTCTAGGTCAAATAACGATTCTATAGCCTCTTCTGGTACCATGAAGGTAATGACGATACTGTTTGAAGGTTCGAAACCCACCAGTATCACATCCTCGTTTTGTACACACAGTAACTCCGCCACGAAATCTCTAAGGTAATCTACTTGTCGTCTGTTGGCCTCGGAACCCCCAATATGGAACTTCACATGTTTATATCCATTGACTGAAAAAAAATGAAATCAAAGCAATTTTTGTCTATCCTGTGGCATAAACTGTAGTTACATAGTCATTGATATGCAAATGATGCGTCTTACAAAAGTATATAAGTGCCCTAATTTTCGATTTTCAAAATGAACTCATCTCTAGCTCATCATATTGTCTTAACCCTTTCACAGAAATGGATTTCAACATACCTGGCTCTCCTTTTGGTGTGAAGAAATACAGCGGTTGTCTTCGACATTTTCTGGCAAATGTAACTATATCTTTATGCAAACCTCTTCTCCCTACATGCCATAACATCGCTTGCAAATGTAAAAGATTGTTACAATTCAAAACTTCCATATCTCTCAGTAGCTGAAAGAACTTAAGTGGGGTCATTGCTTCTGTTAATGCTTTTCGTCCAAGATATCCGCCTGTGAATGAAAAAAAATATTTCTTTGATAGATATACGTTAGTGTATGCTTTAAAGAAAAAGGCTTGAAATTAAGATGACCGAAATGAATGACTACAACTTATGTCTTATACATTTTGTCATTTACTGAATAGCAATATTACCGATTGCAACTTTGAATGAATAATGGTTAAAGTAAATCTAAAGAAAAACTTACTATCAGCAACGTCTTTAACTATTTTTCAAGTTAAGCTTCATGATCATTAGTTCAAGTAAAGTCTATTTTCCACCACTTACAAAAGAAAAAGTGAGTCTTGAGCGAAAGACGTTTGATCAAATAGCACCAAAATAGGAAATAAAAGGAACTTCCTGTGAACAATTGATGTAATGGGTGGAAATATGAAAAATGTAAACATTAAGAAATGTTGCATATTGAATATTGTTTTTTTTTCAATATGTGCATTTAATGCTAATCAAATATGTTTGTCAACAATTTTCTCTTTTAAATTGTTCCTTTCGATTTTAAACATAATTACTACTTACTTTCTTTTCAAATTTTATGACTTGATTTGAATAACATGTTTAATATTTCGTTCTTCAAATGTTTGACTCTGATATGTAAGTTTATTTCATAGTTTTAAAACAAAAAGTAATAACCTCTAATTTTATCCCGAATGTCTAATTTTATCTCGACACGCTAATTCCCTTAAAATATGCATTTGGACAGTAACAGTAAAGACGGCCTCGAATCGTCTAACTTGTTTTGTAAGATTAGAGTATATCACCTTTGCAATAAGACTTCATTCTTTCTAGGTCATTATCTGTGAGGGCTTCTGCAATTCGGTCTAGCATCACATTGAACGTCCAATCGGGTGTTACGAGTGATGCATGGCTGTCTCCAGTCGTTGTGTCCATTTTCGTTTCTAAAATAGCGTACATGGACACTGACGGAATAGATGCTTGTTATATTGGATCTGGTTTTGTATACTTATGGTGTGAACAACTAAGAAAATACCGACATTTTAACTGAATCAAAAATTCAAATTCAATACAATTGATACCAAATACTAATAAAAGAAATATTTACACGAACACACTTGAAAAATGCAAGCTGAATGAATGCAGATGCCACGGAAGAGTAAGCTTCTTCTGCTTCATCAACAGAACATTAACGTCTAGTCTTAAAAATAAATCGAATATGAAGCCAGTCTATTGAGTAGGGATTACAGTGAATATCTATAGCAAAGAGACAGTAACTCTTTATTATGACTTTTCAGTATCCAAAATAGATCATATATGTAGCATGATGTGTTATTCACTGAAAATACCCATGACTACAAAACCTTGATCATGCTTGTTTTTTCGATTAGTCAGCTTCACTTCTTGGCGAGGTTCGGCATCGTGTTTTGCATTTGAAGACGAACTTTTTTCCAACGTCTTGTTATACGGAACGGCCCTTTCTTTTCTGAACGCCTTCCCTTTTGCTTTTGGCATCTTAAAATAATCAGAAAACAAAGACAATTGTTTATTTTGTATGGACAATTTATAATCACATTTCACGAATAAAGGTTTATAATTTGACACATCGTGCTGATACCAACAAAATCGTTCAAGAAATGACCAAGGAATGGATGAAGGATGATATGCTTAGCCATAAAAAGGGAAAATTCAAATGAAAAAAAGATTTTGCAACCCAAGAAAGTGGTAAGTCAAATTGCTGGTGAAATCTTTCAAAATGGAACTACTTTCTTGCATTCTGACAAACAGCATTTCCAAATTACATGTACATAGCTATCCTCGGCTGCTAATTAGTAGTATGTTTATCCAATATATTACAATGTTTTACGGCAATTGAATTACCTATTACTGGGATACGTATTTGACAAGCCCTCGATTTATATCAATAATTATTGAATAAATCTTTATCTATATTTGATTATGTGTAATATGAAATCGTTTACTCTGTATTGTGATACTGTGTGAAATAAGTCCAACTTATATAAATAATTGTGATATATTGGTTATACGAAATAGCATATGAATAAGTATGCAGTATACAGTATCACGGACTGGACCTCTATTCTTCTGTAAATCAATATAATCTTTGATATTCATATATTTACAACAACATGGACCTATCTATATGCAGGTAAATTATACATTTTACAGAATGTTGCAAAACAAAATTTGATGTGCAGTGTTACTGCCCATGTGGCCATGGTCCAAGTTTATATAGTGTCGAGCATTCATTTGCCGGTTCGCCATTGTTCCGCCCCGTGAATGCAAACAAAAACAACATTGTTCGTATACGAAATGAGCAGGACACATGCGTGTTATAACGATTAATTATATCCGTATTTAAACTAGTCATTTCAAAGTGACGACAGGTGTAAAGCGCAAGGAAATATTATGCCGCATTCTTCTGTATCAAATAACCATTTTTAAGAATTTCATTTCCAAACGTCATATCCGAGTCTACTCATATAATGTGGATTTAATAGATTAGCATTGGTCAAATATTCGAAATTATTTCTTCTTTTCTTATGTAGTGATAATAAAATTTGGCAATGTTCAAGAATCTGAAAGTAGTATTCACGTTTAGTTTGTTTAATGTACACAAAGGCATCATTTCCTGCATTGAAGTATTGAATATTTAAACCACAAATGTATATAAGATATACAGAACATAAAAAAAGATTGAGAAACTAGACTGAATCAATGATAGCTAAATAATAACGTTATACTATCAAGTTCCTTATTCTAATTAGCAAAGTTATCAAGAGTAAAATGTTTTTGTCTTAATAAAAGGGTGTTAAGACAGACAGAGTAATACTTTGTTCAGGAGCACGCTGAAAGATAATCATGAGCAATCGTTAAATGCTTGTTATAATAGATTTACAGATTTCTAAGAACCGAATATTAAACATAATATCTTAGGTGTCCGCACAGTTTTTCTTTCTCAGTGTTTCCGAGAATACAGAACTCGCGTCACAATGATACCTTATCGATCGTTACCTGTACGCGATTGGTAGGAATTTAAATTATATATATATAATCGCGTACAGGTAACGATCGATAAGGTATCATTGTGACGCGAGTTCTGTATATTCGGAAACACTAAGATAAATAAAAATAAAAAAATTATAGATAAAAACATGATATGATAGAGACCCATATCATTACTACGTTTATTTATCTTCCTTAATTGCTTATAACAGTCATACAGTGATATGTAAGAGACTATGTATAGATTAGACGTGTACTTGATTTTGAAGTAATACAACAGTGTAGCTGAGGGTTTTATACTGAAAAGAAAAACACATGTAGCAGACGATGGTTGTGTCCTTACCTTTCAGTTCAGTAGTAACGGCTCTATGAAATGTGTCATTTGCAGTCACTATTTAAGCTTGATTCGGCCTGAATCTCAACACAAATCATAATATAATCAACATTTGAAACCAAGCAATTATTATCCGTATTCATTTCATTTCAAAATGGCGATGGCTTAAATGCGCATGTTTATGTCACGCTACATTTGCCGTATCAAATAAACATAACATGTCTTTTTAGCTTTACGTGTACCTACCGTAAGGTCTAAAATAATTCAAATCTGGAAATTTTAAACGAACTTATCTATTTTTAATCTTGTTTATCTATTGTGAATTTAATAGAGTGTTTAAGATTTAAAATGAAAACATTATACAAATCGATCCTTATGTTAATCTACACTTCAAGATTTACATGACAGGTATGTTATAGCGCCTGCAGATAAGGCGTCTAATAACTTGTCTCCTGTCTACAGAAATGACTTCATTTACTTAATACAAAAATAACTAGACTTGCTGAGGAAAGAAACTCCACCTATATATTATCCAATATTGCTTCAGTTCCATAATCGTAATTTGATTGTTGATAATGATAAGGAAACGAAAAAACCCCGTCTATTTTGGATTCCTACACTTCACAACAATCCATATCAACAACTTTTTATTGCTGATCCATCTAACTGTCCAGCCAAACCTTTGTCCAATTTTTTTTCTACTGTTGTTAGTACTATCAATTCAGGGATACAGTGTTGTGATACTTTTTATAAATAAATCTTTATCTATATTTGATTATGTGTAATATGAAATCGTTTACTCTGTATTGTGATACTGTGTAAAATAAGTCCAACTTATATAAATAATTGTGATATATTGGTTATACGAAATAGCATATGAATAAGTATGCAGTATACAGTATCACGGACTGGACCTCTATTCTTCTGTAAATTAATATGATCTTTGATATTCATATATTTACAACAACATGGACCTATCTATATGCAGGTAAATTATACATTTTACAGAATGTTGCAAAACAATAAGTCCAAATAATAGAAGGAATACAGCAAGGACGAAATCGTCGAAATTATTGAAATACCTATGTGAACTAATTGTGCCCATCTGTAGACTAACTTGTTTTTGTTTAATACGAGGCTGGATTTATCGGAAATTTTAGCAAAATAGGTCACAAAGTCCTTCAATTTCATTTCCAGATATATCGATCACATCTTGTCTTCATATAACACGAGATTTTTTGACCAGGTCCATCGTATATACTATCTAGAACTTGAAATCAAGGACACGATTAACTCTTCTTCATCAGTCTCTAATCTCGATCTTTTCCTATGCTCCACGCAGAGCACATTTAATGCCATGGACAGCATTGGGCGTTTTGCGACTCAAACGGATTCCATAAGTTCATTAAATGAATATCACGATTTTCCTAATTTCCTGAATTTTTCCCTGTTGAAGCTGATTTCAATGGTTTACGACTGATTTCTTCTGTTGCATTGAACAGGACTTCACAAAAACACGTCATATAATACAAATGTTTCACTATTTGAGAAAAGGCGGTATTTTATTAGAATTCACCTTTGGTGACGATTTACCTAGGTTCTTTTTACAGCCACTTGATATATGCGTGTCGTTTACACCCGAATGCAGTGAAGCTGTTGCACAATGAATGCATAGTTTTCGTATACAATGTCACCTATTGAGGAAAATTTATTCATAGGTAACTATACATATAAAATAAATATGCATGGACAATGGTTACGTGTCTGACAGATATTTCAGGTGAAATATAACTCACTTAATTCTTCTTATCTCGTGCCGGAATTGATTGTTACTGTGGGGTGTATTAGAAAACAAGTTACCACCATAAAGCTCCTTCAGCCACAAATTCAAAAGGAAATACCAACGGCTTACATATCTTGTTTCAGCTTCTAAAATAATGTATAATGGCTAATATCTCTTTTATGTCTTTAACCACCAAAATATCTATAAAAGCTCTTGACAGACGTGGGCGACACGTCACGCAAATTTTCAACGAGCGTGTTTGTTTAGCACGAGATAAAATATTGTAGATAAACACATGTGTACCGATGTAACTCTGCATGAGACTACAACCTCAGAGTGTGACCTTGGTTTTCAATGCAAATGTTGATACGTATCTCAAAGAAGACCTTAGGTCGAGCTTGAGCTTCATTTTCATCATCATCTTGCTTGAAACACAATGTATAAGGTTGAAAATCAGAACATAGGATTTGATAAACACATTTTATAGAAAGGCCGATATAGATTTGAGACCTATATATAAATAACAATGATATAATGAAAAGAAGAATAATCATATCTTGAGTGTAAAAAAACAGTTTTCCCATTAAAACATTCGCCAAAGGTACCAAAGTATTAGAAAATTGCGTTCTATTAACAGATGACAGATTGCGACATAAGATACAGAACGAACAATACCGATATTTTAATGCACATCTGGTTAATTAATGAGCTAAAAACAGTATGTAATATTTTGGTTAAACAAATATTGATTCACAGATGAAAGATTTAAAACAATCATACAATGACAACAAG